ACCCCCCTGGGGGGGGGAAAGGGGGAGGGTGGGGGGGGGGGGGGGGTCAGTGCGCTCAGTCTATGGCTACAGGTTCATTGTTGCAGGCCCACAGTGGATTGCTTACTTATGGGGCCTAATCCAATCATAAATTGCCCCTGTGCACCAATCAGGGAGGGCCGAGGTCCCCATGAATGAAACTGAAGTGGGGGATTTTGCTGAAGGTCTATTGTTGGAGCTGTCACATGTGAAAGGACCTGCAGTCCCCGGGTACTATAAAAGACACCTTCCGGGGGGAAGCAGCGCAGAGATCCCAGAGAACAGACAGACACAGCCATTAGCCATAAAGGAGCCCAAGATGATGTTCCCCAGTCTCCTAGCTCCTCCGGCCGTCTACCCCAACCTCCTGCGGCCCACGCCGACCCTCACCCTGCCCCACAGCCTGCAGAGCGCCCTGTCCACCCACTCCAGCTTCCTGGTGGAGGACCTCCTCAGGATCACCCGACCCACAGCCAGCGCCGGATACTTAGCCCGGGCCGTGCCCAGCATCTCTCCTCCGAGATCCGAGACCCCCAACAGCCTGGCGGACACCTCAGAGCTCCTCGGCTCCAGGCAGAACTCCAACTGCAGCAACGGCAGCTCCACCTTCCTGAAGTTCGGAGTGAACGCCATCCTGTCCAACTCCACGGCCAGAACAGGTGAGCGGCTTTTCTTGGCCATCTTTACCCCCCCCCGGGTTCTTTTTACTGGTTTCACTAATCCCATTTTACACCTCCCGGGGTAATAATGAGATGACCGTTCCAAAGTCCTGCTCTCGCCCCCCGGCTGCTGGTCACATGACAGCGAAAGGTGGCCATTCAGGACAGGAACTGATGCCAAACTTTCTAAATTACACTTTCTGTCAATCTCTCTCTCTCTAGATTTTGAAGAAGTCAGTGAACCTGATTCATAAAGAATATTCATTGTCCCAACACTGAATTATGATATTGTAAACCTGAGAATGGGCGCAAATGTGCTGCCCAATTCACAAAGCTATAACACAAGGATACGCATCTTTCATTACAGTCATGTGACTATAATTTTTAAATCTTATTGGCCCTTAGCTCAAAAATAACTGTCACTGTGAACATGGGGACCTTTATCCTGGTGGATATGGGGACCCTTTATCCTGGTGGGCATGGGGACCCTTTATCCTGGTGGGCATGGGGACCCTTTATCCTGGTGGATACGAGGACCCTTTATCCTGGTGGATACGGGGACCCTTTATCCTGGTGGATACGGGGACCCTTTATCCTGGTGGATACGGGGACCCTTTATCCTGGTGGCATATGGGGAGCCTTTATCCTGGTGGCATATGGGGACCCTTTATCCTGGTGGATACGGGGACCCTTTATCCTGGTAGATATGGGGACCCTTTATCCTGGTGGATATGGGGACCCTTTATCCTGGTGGGCATGGGGACCCTTTATCCTGGTGGGCATGGGGACCCTTTATCCTGGTGGATACGAGGACCCTTTATCCTGGTGGATACGGGGACCCTTTATCCTGGTGGATACGGGGACCCTTTATCCTGGTGGA